AATTATGCAATTGGAGCTGTTTTATCTCAAGGTCCTGTCGGAGCTGATTTTCCCATTGCATACGCATCTACAACTCTGAACCCAGCTGAATGTAATTATTCGACGATTGAAAAAGAACAAGCAATCGTATGGGCAACAAAATATTTTCGACCTTATCTTTTTGGTAAAAAAAACACAATTTTGTCAGATCACAAACCTGCACAATGGAATGGCTATTTACTGTTAAAGAACCGAGTTCTAAATTAGTCCGATGGCGACTGAAATTATCCGAATTTGATTATGAGATCAAATACAAAAAAGGAACATTAAACATGAATGCAGACAGACTATCAAGAATTCCTGTAATACAACTTCATGCCATTCACAAATCAGATCCAGATGCCAGATTAACATCTTCAGATGAAGAATTTCACAGAATATTAGGAGTAATGCTGAAAGATACATCATTATGTAATGATGAAATCATAGCAAAATACTTAACAGATTCTAAAGTATATCTTCCTGAACAAAGCGAGAAAGCTAAAGAAAAAGAGATAACAATGTCTGAATCATCTCAATCAACAAAAACAGCATCAGAAAAAGAACCTGAAGAGGACCTAAGAAAGAAAGACCCAAAATAAAAATATTATCCCAACTAATAATACCTTTAAGAAAGGAAAAGAAAGAAATTCCCATAGAAGTAGGAGAATCTTCAAAAACAACTCAAAAAACTAAAAGACAAATAACACCTTCGGCTGACCAACGAACAGTTTCAGCCCTGTCTGAAAATGACCAAACAATACATACGTTTATAGAAAATCCAATATTAGAAGCTCCAAAAACTAAGAAACATGTAAATATATTCGGAAATCAAATTGTATTTCGAAATTCCAATAATAACACAATTAGAAAAGAGATAATCAAACTATTTGGTAATAATAAGAGAATAATATTCTTCTTACCAAATAATCCAGCAACATCCCAAATTACTAATTTAGTTAAAGGAATATATGCCACCTGGTATTTATTGCCTTTATTTACTAAATAAATCTTTAGAACCTATTGTGATACGAGCATTACAAGAATCGTTTAATTCGAATTCATTTACTTTTTACATCTCGAACTCTTTATTAGAAGACATCACAGAAGTTGATCTTCAACAAGAGAAAATTCAGCAATATCATGAGACTAAAACGTCTCATAGAGGAATCACAGAAAATTTTGCGAATCGAGAAAGACGTGTAGAATTATGTCAAAGTATGCGAGATATGCAATAAAACTAAGTATGAACGGCAACCATACAAAATCACATTTAAACCAACACCCATTGGTACGAAACCCTTCGAACATATTTATATTAACACATATACTAAGCGACATAGAAATTGCAACACCCAGTAAATGTAAATATATTTTATTATAATATTTTGGGAAGTAGTTAGGATAAATATGCATAACAATCGATGACATTTTCAAACAAATTTATTGAAAGGAATTCTTAAAAATTCAATAGTCAGTTGCGTAAGCTTTGAAATTCTGTAACCCTTCGTGGCATGCTGCGAATCAGATGATCGATTTCTCATATGCTAATCTTACCTCATGACGTAGACGTTGTACATCCAGTAGAAAATGTGGCAACTGCCTCAGCCTTCTACCTATCATATCCAAGACATGTTCAATAGGCGATAAGTCTGGTGACATTGCGGGCCAGTTTCTAGTAACTGCAGCGGTATGTGGTCCTGCATTGACTTATGAAAAATTGGATCTTGCAGTTTCTGAAGGTAGGGCAACGTAGAAGAGTCTGTCGCAGACGTGGATGAAGGCACCAACTTCAATTATGCATGGAGCGAGAAACTGCGCTTACTAGGGGCGGTATGGCTTGGGGGTGCCATAGCAGTTGGAAGCAGGTCACCTCTAGTTTTTTTGGATAGAAACATGAACGCTCGATACTACATTAATAACGTATTACAACCTGTCGCGTTACTCTACCTTTAGCAATAACTACAAGATCCAATTTTTAAACAAGACAATGCGAGATCTTATACCGCTGCAGTTACTAGAAACTTCCTCCAACAAGCTTATGTAATCCTTCTTCCATGGCCCTCAAGGTCACCAGACTTATCGCCTATTGAACATGTCTGAGATGTGATAGGTAGAAGGCTGAGGCAGTTGTCACATTTTGTACTGGATGTACAACGTCTACGTCATGAGGTAAGAATAATCTGGGAGAACCTCCCACAGGCAGATATCGATCATCTGATTCGCAGAAATGCCACGAACAGTTACAGAATGTCAAAACCAACGTGGACGCGCAACTCACTATTGAATTGAATTGTCTAGAATTCCTTCCAATAAAGTTTGAAAATGTCATCGATTGTTATTCATATTTATCCTAACTACTTCCCAAAATATTAATAAAATATATTTACATTTACATAACCAGATATTTCTTACCATTATTGATAGCTTTCCAAAATTTGGTCAAGCCTCTCCTGTTAATACGAAAACAGCTGTAGAGATAACATCACAGCTATTGAAATATTTTAGTGATCACGGAATACCTCAAAAAGTCACATCAGCAAATGGAGCAAAAATGCTATAATGACAGAACTTTGTACATTATACAAAATTGAGTTTCATTATACAACTCCAAGAAATTCAAACTCGAATAGTCCAATCGAAAGATTCCATTCGACACTACGTGAAAGTATAACGAGTTTAAAACTCCAAAATCCGAATAAAAGTATTAATAATCTAATGACAATCGCTATATTGAATTATAACAAAACAGTACTCATAGTACAATGAATCACACCCCTTTTCAAGTTATTCAAGGAGATTTAAATTATGCCATACCAATTGAACAAACAGAAAATAAACTAACAACTGACTATATAACAAGTTTGGCAGAATCCCTTGCAAATTTGAATAAAGACATTCAAAAAAAATGTTAGCGAAACAAACAAAATCTTTAGAATCACGCAATAAAAATCGTGAATTACAAGATCCAATTTTTGTTAAACAATTTAATGGAGACAAGATAAGTCCGCGTTATGATAGCAAAACACAGAATCGCGAAATGTTAAACGACAATAATTTATTTCAGGTACCCCGAGATGAATCCCCAGTAATCCTTACTCTCGTTGGAGTCACCCAAGCGTGTATATTGATGACGGTAGAAAATCCTATCTTACCAATTTCTTTAGGAACTACTTATGTAACAACTCAACATAACACGGCCTATTATCGCATTAACACGACAATTACCATACAATGTATTCATAAATTAAAGATAGCCCTAATGAAATTATCTGAGACGCTTAATAAAACAGCTTGGTGAAACCAAATTGTTGCGCTGTTTCAAACAAATATTGAAACCAGTTATTCTCAAATTAAGATCATGAAATAAGTCATTAAAACCTATCAAGACCGAAAACGAAATAAAAGAGGTCTATTAAATTTCATGGGCACAGCACAAAAATGGCTACACGGAACCCTAAAGGCTGGAGATGGCGCTCTAGATGCTGGAGACGGCGCAAGATATGATTCTTATATCTAGACGCTCAATGACAATCAAAAGACACTCAATGGAGATATAAAAACACAAGCTCGAGTATTAAAACAAGTTAAAAATTTCACGATCAATTTATAACTATTGAATCTAACCAAAAGGTTATCACAGAAAAATTACAAAATATTTCCTTGGAAAACCAAAACTTCCATTCAATGTTAATCTTTAATTTGATATTAAATATTATCAATATTCAAAGTAATAAAATAAGGAATCTAATTGATCATTTGCAATAAGCAATAAATTTTGCACAATTGGGAATTATGCATTATACTATTTTACAGCATAATGAATTAAATCAAATATTAGCAAATATACCCAAAAGTCAACAAATACCTTTTGATAATAAAATCAAGTATCACGAGATAATGAAAACTTAAGTGAAATTCCAAAATGAGTTAATATTTGTTGTACAGACACCAATGATTAATCCCAAGCCCTCTATATGTATTGTATAAAATCTATCCAATTCCTATCCAAGAAATTACCATTAGGAATAAGTACCCTTACCTATTACTTACTACGGACATTCACTACAATACTTTATGGGAATGCTCAAAAGTCGAAAATGTTTACCTTTGTAACTAAGAAGAGCTGAAGCAAGAAGAATCATGTATCTCTGACCTGATTACTGACGTACCTACCACAACAATGTCCTTTCACCAAAGTGAAATATGAGAAACTAACAGTGAGAGAACTCCCCAATGGTCATCCCTAAGAAAAGCCTGACGATAGTTACCCAATATTACAAGACAAACCAAATGTATATTATAACCATTCAACGCTAGTTTCTTTCGAAAAATTCTTTGTAAGAATACATAATCAAACATTTTCAATAACCAGCGAGAACTTCAATTTTGATTTGAAGATTCCAAAAATAGACATCCCTGAACTTCCAGATAACGAAACAACATTGGAACTTCAAGAAATCAACCAAGAAGCCCTAGAAGAAGCCTTCAAGACGAGACAAATAAGAGTTCAAAATCTCAAAGAATTGTCCTTTCAAAACTCTTATTTGAATACATATTTAATCATAGGTTTAAGTCTTGCTATTTTATTCATAATTTTATTGTTTTACTGTTTTAGGAAGTTTAAAACTTCAGAAAAACGTTGTGCAAATTGAATTGTCTGATTTGCATAAACAACAATCCACATTTGCAACATCTTAAGGAGGGATTGTCACGCTTATCAATAATCAAATATCCATTTTTTATATGCTTTAATATGCTTACCCCTTTCCACCATGGTTTTTTAAATACCTTGTTGTAAAGTAAACATCAAGTTGCTATATCGGCATTAAATTATTATTTAACCCAGCGCAGTCCCATAGGGAACGTTCATTTATTTTCACGCTTTTGCTGTAGCAACTTGATCCACATATTTTCTTTTGTCACCTCTGTATTTTATTAATCAATAAATAAATGTTTTTTAAAATACAAGTATCTGAATCGAAAATATAATTCGTATATAACGACACTTTATTCTAAGAAATAAATAAATATGTAAGTACATAAAAATATCAGTTTTCATGCTGCACAAAAATATTCGTTTGTTCTTCTCTGGACCCATTCCAAGAACGAAGTCATCCTGGTATTGATGCCGGGAGCGGCCGATCCACATCCAACCCCATGCGAAATAATTCCTAACAAAAATAGCCTCTTGCTGACTGGATTTTGCCATAGCAATGGACCGCCTGAGTCGGATTGGCAAGTGTCCTTTCCAGGTGTAAAAGTACAAATTTCCGAGCTGACGATAGTTTCAGACTGCTCGCACTGAGAATTTGAAATCACTTCCAAATCGACTTCTTGAAGAATAGGGGCGGTTGGTCCCGAAAATTCAATTTGTCCCCAGCCTAAAAAAGCACTTCAATATTTCTGTCCTGTTAGTGAGTAGTGACTCTTACCCAACGCAGTGACATTATCCCCCTCAAAAGTATTAAAACTGTACCTGAAAGGCAAACAAATAGGACCAACATTTTCGTTGAAATTTATTTTATCCACTTGCACCAGCGCTATATCGCCTTGGTAAGTTAGAGGGTCATAACCATCCCACATTTCGTAAGCCGTGACTCGATAAATTGCAGAGAATGGAGTATCAATACCTTGAAACAACAAAATGAATTTTATTTGGTACCTCCCTTATTTACCTTACCTACCAGTAGTCAAATCATGATCCCCTACAAGTATCAATAAACTTTTTGGATCTCTGTTTTGAACACAATGAGCTGCAGTAAGAACGTAACGGTTTGAGATAATGGTTCCTCCACAATAGACGCGTCTATTGCTATCTACCATACCCACCATGGCAGGGTATTCATTAACACTTGTATCCACACCACCAACAATTCTCCTCTAAAAAATTATTCTACAGGGCTATAATATTATATAAATGTATTCTTACATCATTTTTCCAACCGCACTGACAGCTGGGTTGAACCATAGGGCTTTGAAACGGAACTTGATCTTCCGTTTTAGCTTCTACAGCAGTTACAGAGCATAAAAATCGACCTGCTTCGGATTTTTTCATGGTCTTTAACACTGGAAAGTTGTTATTAGGTTTTTATTGGAAGTATTGACGTTTTGCTCACCAACATGCAAAGTGCTCTCTTGAGTTACCAAAGAAAACGCACCTTCTCCACAGTATTTATGAGATTCAGTAAAATTTTTCTTTCCTATTGATGATATTTCTAGATGGTCTTGTTTACAATTCACTGACTAAAATGTAAGTTTAAGTTTTCATTGTACGTAATTGTATTACATATTACTTTTGGCATAGTAATATCGTCGCAAGACAAAAATATCTTGGAATTTGGTGGACTTTTAGCAACCCACTTACACGACGAACCTGCGCTATAATTTTGCGGGTACTCTTTGTTAAAAATGTAGTACACTTTTCCCATGGCAAGGTCTTGATAAAAGTTGCAATTTTTGTCTATGGAGTCAATAACTATTACTGATACGGGCATTAGAAGGTTCCAGAAATTGGATAATATTATGCTCATTTTCCTAAAAAAAAAAAAAAAAAATATTTAGAATATGAACAATTCCTCAAATATCAGAAAATAGTTTCCTGTAAAGCTGTAAAACTACACATTGACATGGTTAAAATAGATATGACTACCGCTTTTATTGTTTCAAGTTAATGAATGGGCATCCAAAAGAAGCCCAAAAGCCATATTGTGTTTCTAAATTTCCGTTTTTTTAAAATTTACTCCTGGTTTGATAAGAATTTATTAACGTTTGTTCTCTAGGGTAAGAAACGTCAATAAGAGGTATTGTTTCGCGAATGCATAAAAACTAAAAATGGATAAAATATTAAAATCCACCGCAGATATTCTCTAAAGATAATTTAAGCACATGCACCAACATTCATACAATCATAAGATGAAGTTGAAAATTTCTACGAGAACATACATATAATATACAGAGTTCTACAGAAAGGGAAACATACCATAGCTTATTAATTCAAGACTCGAGACTTCAAGCAAAGATAATCCTACTTCGGAGTAGGATTATCTTTGCTTTAAGGCAAAGATCAGAAGCAAACGAGACGAAGGAGAAATAGAAATATTAATAGGAGGACGATCTCGTAATGTTTCTCATCTTAGGAATCTGTAGAGCATCTGTTTGAAGGATGATATTGAAGGAAACCACCTATTTGAAATATTATTTCATTTCATCCAATCTTAAAGGACCCCGCACACTTCTTATGGGATTTTTGTTGAACGCGGCATTTAACCAAATATTGGTACCTATGTTGTATATTTCGACCTCCTGAGTAAAAGTTCTCATGGGCACAAACCGATCCTATGACTAGTTTTGGATATACGGGGGTTTTTCTAATACTACCTCAGGCAACCTGAAACTACTGAATTTTTCTGCTTTTCGAGTTTATTTGTGGTGGGTAGCTTTAAAAAATGTTGATTTAGTTTAGACCTTTTACGCAAACGTGCATGCTTTAAGTTAGGTGCCTATATATGTATATGTACGAGGGTATTTTAAAAAGTACTCGTTTGATGGACCTTTGTAATAAAATAGGTACCTACGTCATAGTATTTTAAAGCATATCATATAAGTAGGTATATAAAGGGACACACCCATATTATCAAGGATGCAACCAGACTTCTTAGAATTAAAAATAAATGTGATCAATTTTAAGTTTGAACCAATTATGAAAACATGCATATTTTCATTTACCTAGGTAGGTACCTATTTATGTCGAGGGAGTTTTAAATAGCAGATATACTTGTTTTAACCGACCATCTTTTTTAATAAAACTTAGTATTAGATTAGGAATGCCTATATTTATTAGGTAAAACAGAAAAGAAACGACTGGTGCATCAGGGAGTAGTAGCTGGCATTTCGATCTCAATAAACTAATGTCGGTAGGGCATAATCTAAATAAAATAATACAAAAAATATTGGCAAAAAATCAATGCATCAAAAAACAGAAACTATTCTAATTAACATATTACACAGTAAAATTACCTTTGTGTTGGTTAAAAGAAAAGAACGGTTCTAGAACGGTCCAAAACAATCGCACAGTTCTTAGAACAGCTTATTATTGGAATTTTTGATAGCCAATCCGTGGTCATTTTGTTGATTGATAAACTGTTCGATTATTTTGAACCGTTTTAGAACCGTCCTTTTCCAAACCAAAACAAAGCTAATATCTACTTTCATTATTGCACTATTTTGGGAAGTATTTCTTCACCATCGGCGTTCTCGGCTTCAACATCTTCAACATAATCCAAAACCATAGTGCTAGGGTATTTAGTATGAGGCTGATGCCGAGCATATGACAAATACCATATTATGCTTGCAGCATGGCAGCACATACCCACAAATCTTGCCCCTGATCGACAGGTGCAATAATGACCCAATATACGGTTATTATTATACCTTATAAAGGTTTGATATTTGGTGTTATTGCGGTGCCTCGAGCGGTGCCTTGAAAATATCCGTATTCTCAGGAAATTATTAATGTTAAGTCCGGCATCCAATTCCATAATATGACCGCCTCCCTCATGTAAAACGCCAGACTACCTCACCCGCATCATCCACTCGTTCATCACCAACCGAACGTTGCAGGTGAGGGTAAACGACAGCCACTCCAGAACAGTACCGATGACCGCAGGAGTCCCACAAGGCTCCGTGCTTGCTCCGACGCTGTTCAACATATACACACATGACATTCCACTCCCGGCTGGACCAGAAATCCAGCTAGCCCAGTTTGCCGACGACACCGCCATCGTCGTCAACAGCAGACAATCCAGACTGATCACCCTCAAACTCCATAGATACACCAACACTCTGGAAACCTGGATGCAGAAGTGGAAAATGAAACTGAACCCGAACAAGACTCAAGCTGTTCTGTTCAGACGTACACGTGCCAGACCTCATGGACACGTGAGATTATCAGGACACGACATCCCCTGGAAAAGTAACGCCAAATACATTGGCCTTCACTTTGACCAGAGCCTCACCTGGAGACAACACATCATGATCACCAGAGCCAAGAGAGAATCAACACTTCGAAAGCTCTTCCCTCTCATATCCGGGAGGAGGAGCAAGCTATCCATCCACAACAAACTCCTGACATACAAATCCATGCTCAGGCCAATCCTCACCTATGGATCCCCGACATGGTCAACCACGGCATCCACTTACTTGAAAAGACTGACTGCCTGCCAAAACAAATCTCTCCGTATCATCGCGGACGCCCCTTGGTACATGAGAAACACGACGCTTCATCGAGACTACGAACTAGAGACGCTACCTGAACACATCAAGAAGCTGAACACCAACTACTTCTTGACTGCCAGAGCTCACACCAGCCAGACCATCCGGGACTCCCATCGGGCCCCCCTTCAACACGAGAGAGGCCACTACAGAGTTCCGAATGATGATTACCCACCATAACAGGCCTACTGCTGCGTGCTTCATCAGCCCTGGATTGAGCAGGGGTTGAGGATCATACGCAGCGGAAAGCCGCCCACGACTTCTCAAACCTGAGAAGTGAAACAGGACGCCTACTGCCAAAGAGACAGCCTCCCAGCCTGGGAAGCCTATCGGAGGCAGGAAGCCAGCCTTATAAGCCTACTGCTGCATGCCCCTCCTAGGAGGGACGCAAGCGGCAGGAAGCCAGCCAAACATAGGACGCTAAATGCCGGAGACAGCTTCTCCAGCCTGGGGAGGTAGTCCGACGCAGGAAGCCAGCCTCTCAAGCTTACTGCAGCGTGCCCCTCCGACTGAGGGACGCACGCAGCAGGAAGCCAGCCAAACAAGGACACTGATTGCCGGAGACAGCTTCCCCAGCCTGGGGAGGTAGTCCGACACAGGAAGTCTTCCTTCAAAGCCTACTGCAGCGTGCCCCTCCAACTGAGGGATGCACGCAGCAGGAAGCTAGTCAGACTGTCGGACACAGGGCGCCGAATGCCGGAGACAGCTTCCCCCGCCAGGGGAGGTAGTCTGACGCAGGAAGCCCTCACCTAAGTCTGTCAAAGCAGAAGCCACCCAGGACCAGGAACCCCCGACGAGGACCAGAACCACGACCATTTAATTTTAAGTATAGGTTTAAGAAAGTCTCTTCAAGACAACTTGTTCGTTTTATTTTACTTATTTTAAGTTGAAATATCTTAAGGTGACCACCATGTTAGTTTACCTTTTAAGTTTATCTTTAAGTTATTTATTGTTATAACATTATACATAAAAATTATTGTAATTATTGTAATAAACTGAGTTCCAAAAAAAACCAAAAAAAAAAACCCTCATGTATGTTATCTTGTACATAGGACGGCGCAATATTTATTTGAAAGACTCCAAAGGTTAAGTGTAACAAAGTTTCAGTATTTTTCATAAAATAAGTACGCCTCCCGCTTCGACTTAATTAAATTATTAATTGCGTGACTTAATTTTATAAATTCACGGCGGTATTAATTAAAATCCTCTTTATATTATTCGTAAATATTAAATACATTATCATGATTTCGCATGACCTCGGCTGGAATCTACAGATCCCGGCAGGAATTTCGGTCGGTATCAGCTAATTTGCATATTTCCGTTTACTCCGCCGCGTCCCTGACCTATATTTTTGGCTATAAATTGGGCAGAATTTGCTGCTAAAAGAGAGTCTTCCACCAGTCTCCGAAATGCTAGTCGACCTGACAGCAGTGTTAGCAAAATCCAACATCACCACCTGAACCGTCCGAGGTAAGTCAACCCGCCGTAACCACAATAATAGGGGTCAGTTCTTGTAGGGCCGCGAATTAAACCAGAAGGTAAAAATCAATTATATAAGCTTCACTAAAAGATTTTCGCCCGGAACCTTGGACGGGCAAATCTTTTCCTGCAATAGGGGTAAGTCTCTATTGCTCTCAGAACTTCGCCCGGTACCCTGGACGGGTAGTTCTGTATGAGAAATTTTCGTCTGGAACCTAGGACAGGTATTTTTCTCCGAAGCTTATATGGTATCTCTAATCCGTTAAATATATGATTCGAGAACTGACGCTTATGTAGTTGCAGGTTGTGTCCGTACATTTGCTTGGGTCACCGGAGTTTGTTTTACCGCTTTATTGCTATTTAACACTTGCCGTTAGCGTTAACGTTACCGGAACTCTTAGAGCTATCGGAAGGCTGACCGTTCCGTTATCGCTGCCGTTAACTTTTTCCGGACACGCTTTTCACTGCCCGCATGGTCACGCTTTTACCGCACGCACATAATTTTCCACCCATTTAATCATCTCTCTCTCACGCATCCCCGTTCATTCTTTCACAGGGTTAATTAAGGGTTTTTCCTGTAAATATTTTCCGGCAATATAGAGGGTTATATTTATTTAAATTTATCGACTGTTGTCTATTTCTTTTCCCCAAACCAAGGTTTTCAGAAAGTTTTCAGAGCGAGCGTCTGTGACCCCTGGATTACCGTTTCTCCACTGTAACAAGCTACCTGGTGCACGTGGGCCCTCAACCACTTTAATCCTGAGGGTGGCGCCCGAGGCAAACCGTTAGATAAACTGAATTACACTGAACCCGTGTTGATTACGCAACAAAAGCGCTTTACATAAGTGCCGCAACTCTTCTGGGTTGAGAATGGGAAAATCGATTGGTTCATGCTGTAAACCTTGCCAAATACCTCGGCGTCGTAAAAAACCATTCTGGTCCACCAAATTTTGCACCCGATTGGGCTCTTGCGCTAGTCTCTTCACCTCATTTGCCAATTCAACGGTAGCGTCCTGCATTGCAATGGGCTCATGAAACTTGTTGATAAGGGCACAAACAGTTTTGAAAAGATCGCCAATGTGTGGAATTTGTGCGTTTGGCACAACATCTCTTAATAACTTTGATAACGCTTTGATGTGTCCATTTCTAGCCTCTATAATCCACCGCGTCTTTGTGATAATTCTAGCTTGGTTTGCTTCTTCAATTGGAAGCTGTTGACGTCTTCCAAGGTGGGTCGGCAGTTCCACGTGTATTCCCAAATCTCTAAGAAATTGTACACAATCCCTGTATCCCCTGTCCAAAATAAAAATATCTTCTTGAGCAAAGTATTCGCGAAGTCTTCCCAGATCATCTTCGTACTCATCTATTAGGATGTTTGCATCGTTGTTTGCTGAGTTACAAAAATGGGGGCCATGAGCTGACAAAATGTAACCGTCCGGTGCAACCAGCAAAACAGCTTTCAAAAGATGGTATCTTTTGTGATTCAAAAAGGATTTTCGCAGAACTTTGAAATTTTTACTCTTTTGAATTTCTATGTAATGTAAGCAATTGCTTTTGCATTTTGTGGTTCTTGATTGTACAATTGATTTGCAAAATCGGTAACGTGACTCCTAATATACTCTTCTCGATTTATATGGGCGTAACCGAGCCATTGAGGTACAAAGTTTTGCATTAAGGTGAGAAGGACTTTAGAAATAATCAGGCTTGTTTGTTGCCTACTCGAATGGCCAAACATCACCCTGAGAAAACTGTCGGAAATTCCTTGGCGGATTTTGCATAAAAGGCATATTAAATCTTGTTTGGATATGTTCCTCATTTTTCCATATAACATGACAGGTAAGCAGTAGTTTGTGTGCAAATCTCTAAACTGAACTTTTGTTAATGATGTTAGATCCCTAAGTTCTTCATCGGTGAAGCTTTCTTCATCGATCATTTTACAGGGAGGGTTATCGGGTTTTTCTCTCAAACTCGAAAGAAGAAATACCAGCTCTCGACCTTTTAAAATTATATGGCGAGTAATCGACTGCAGTCCATTATGTAGCTGCAGGAGCAAAAGTCCATCAGCATTAAGATGCTCCTGGCATACCCTGGAATTTTCTGGGACGTATATACCTCTTTTGATGAATATATTCACTCTTGCTTCCTGACTGATTCTGTTAAATTGTTCTCTGTGACAAACAATGCACTTAGTACTGTGTCGAAATAAAACCTTCAGAATAGTGGGGTCGGGATCTTCTTGGAGCGTGATTATTTCTTCATTGATGCTTCGAATGCATCCCTCACAGAACCTGAAATAGTTATTTTCTCACTAGTGTGGAAAGTGATAGTTTTCCGCGCGCGATGGCAGTTACACGAACCACGCTGGGCGAAGTTTGTCGGCAAGCCGACAAGGACGGAAATGACACTTTACGCAAAAGTTAGGTATAATTTTTTTTCTACAAATGATTTAAACTTTTATTTTCTTTAAAAATAAGTTCTTAATAAACATAGGTACATTTTTTTTAAAATCGTGCAGAAAAGTAAAAAATCGTGCGGAAAAGTAACTTTCTCTACAACATGCATAAAAAGTGACATTTTGCGATTTGTTTTGACAACGCAAAGTTAACTTTTTTGATTACCAATCGACAAAACTTTGTTGCTTGTCGTCATGTGAGACAAAATCATTTCAATATTGTAGAAAAAATCACATGTGTAATTCGAGCGCAAAGTAATATTGTCACTTCGCGCAGAGCGGCAGTGTATCACTTTGCGCTCTTAATACACAAATAGCAATTTCAGCACTATTTAATTCGTGCGGAAAAGTACTACTTTCCACACGATTTAACGTTCAATAACCGTCGTGACCTTACCCAGGATAGAAGTTGTTTATTAGTCTACTATATAATGGAGTGAAAAGGCTTTTTTGTTAGACAGCCCTTTAAAAGTTGAAGTTCGCGAGCGCAGAAGGCTGGGAAGAAGGAACTGCGAACTCCAACTTGAACTCTATGTATGAATTACGAGTAAACTATATGCATTTTTTCTCTACTCTCGTTTTTAAAATAAACACAAATAGACGTATGACAAACTACCTACATACCTTGAGTTCTCAACAATAAGATTTTCATCCTCAAATCCCAACTCGTTTCGTCGCTTTACAGCCAATCTACGGACTTCGGCTTCTTCCCGGAATAAAACAGTGCGATTAACTCTTAGCCCCTCATCACACACGTAGCATACCTTGCCCGAAATGCCATTTTCAAAAGAAAGGTGACACAAAGAGACAATTCGCTCTATTGACAGGATCACTGTTTTTGTTTCCATGGTAACCAAGTAAAATATGAAAAAACAATTTTCTTTGCTTTTGTTTCCATGGCTGTTTTATTTTTCAAACATTAAGTCACATATCTCCTTATTTGTAATTTGTATACCTAATACCTATACACTGAGACCCTATCGTGAGGCAAAAAACTTTTATTACGAGCGGAGCGAGAACTGACATTCATTGAGAGATAAGAATAAGTCGTACTTTTATCACAAAACGTAGGTACTTACAAGTACACAATTTTTCACACTTTTGGACATTTTTGGTCATTTACTGACTCACCTTAGTGATAGCCGCCGTAGTTTTTGAGCGTCCCTGGTATATACCTAAAAGAAGAATTACGAATACCTATTAAACATTTTTAGTCAAGAAAAGATAAAATAAATAACGTTAAAAGCAATAAATGCAAGCTTTTTTGCTTTATGTACACTTTATATAGGTACTTGGGTTGCCCAAGGTAGTATTAGAAAAACCCCCGTAAATCCGAAACTAGTCATAGGATCGGTTTGTACCCATGAGAACTTTTACTCAGGAGGTCGAAATATACAACATACCAAAATTTGGTTAAATTCCGCGTTCAACCAAAATCCCATAAGAAGTGTGCGGGGTCCTTTGTATAATGATTTCTTAGACTGCTTGTCCGCCATTGTTCATTATTCAATTTTTATTTTGTATTGAACTGATTGTTCAATCAAGTTTGTTTGTCATAAGGAGCATTCACAGGTCAGTTGAATAAATGTTATTATTCTAATTTTGACATTTAAAGTGACACTTTTTAAAACTCGTTGACGTTATCAAATGCCTTACTTTTCATCGCCAGTTACGAAAAGTAAAATTTTTCGCAACTGGTGATGAAAAGTAAATTTCACCATTAGTAATGGGAGTGAGTTAGGAGGTATGGGAAACACATGGATTCCAAACAACCATTAATTGCGAATGTGTTCCCCATACCTCCTAACTCACTCCCACACCAACGGTAACCGCCGAAGTTTGCCGATGGTCACAAACTAACAACTTAAAAATTGATGAAAGACTTGATCGACTGGTTAGAAATGAGACAGGTCTCGGTGGCTCAGTTGGTAGAGCATTACACTGGAAATGTAGGGGTCCTGGGTTCAAATCCTAGTCGAGACAAGAAAATTTTTCATCAACTTTTAATTTATGCGTCTGCATGCCACTAAAATTAACACTCTTTAAATTATATAACAGACGATAAAAACTCTAAAAAATTAGAAAAAATATTGTGAGAAACACTATTTTATGTACGATCGGGCCACAAAGTACCTATTTGCGCCCTAATTTGCGGGCGCAATTTGATACTTTTCGGCCCGCCGGGCCACAATGTGCAACCATGCAGGTGTCAAACAGTTGAATAAATACCAGTAAAAAATTTCAAATACTTTATTCCAATTTTGATATATTAATTTCAATTTTACATTCTTTACAATTAGATACTAATATAGAAGGTAAATTGTTGCTGTTGGTCGAGGTGTTGGTGTTTGAAAAAGAATAATTGATATTTTCTAAAATATTAACATTTTCTGAACAATAAGAACTTAAATTATTACTGCTACTGGCTACGTCCCTTCCCAATATTTTTCCAGCAGTTATAACCTTCTGTTGGATGGAGTCCTCAATATATCCTTCTGCAACAGAAGAGGACTTCCATCCACCGTGGCGTTTCAGGTTGGTAATATCTGCACCGGAATCGGCTAAAAGTGTGGCAGACGAACGGCGGAAGCAGTGGCCAGTATATAAATTTGGATTGGGAAGGGTCAAAAACGTAGCAATTTTCGATGGCAGCATTCCAAAGGTGTTTTTTCCCACAGGCTGTTTTCCACAGATGCCATCTCTGTAAAATACAAAAAATCTTCTGTGGTTTGTATTTGGAGGACGGAGAGCTACATATTCTCGATACAACTCAAGGAAATTCCAACTCATTGTTTACGACAGTGAATGTTCTGGTGACTTTCGTTTTGGTTTCTCGCACTTTAACAATCAAAACAGAGCCACAATCTTCAATATCATCGAGTGTTAAATTCGTCAGTTCTTCTCTGCGACATGCGCCATACACTCCCATCATTAGGGCGACCTGTATAACAATAAAATGTATTAATTTTTTGAAAAATTAATATAGTTTTTCTTTCTGAAATTGTTAGCTTTAATTTTACCTAAAGTTGATACATACCTTAGTCATTAAGTATGATTTATTTGGGGCATTCAGGATAAAAGTTTCAATTTGCTGTTTATTGAGGATTTTCGACTTTTTCGGTTTTTGATTTTCAGCTTTACGCTTAATGAATGCTATAAGTTTCCCAAATTTGCTGATATTCAAATTCTTCTCAATAATTAGGGTGGCTTTCAGCATGGAGTAAATTGTCCAGAGAGTCGATCCTTTATATTTTTTGGATATTTCCCAAAAATACGCTAGTAGCACGTCTTCAGTAACGGAACCATCTACGTTTTGCTCCTTGCACCAATTTGAAAATGTCTGAAATTCTTGCATGTACTTGCTTTTCGACTTTGTTGGTAATAATTCTGATGTGGCCTCTGCTACTGACTCCATAATCTTTTCTGGTAGGAATCTTGCATTTTCGCTGGATGAATCCATTTTCACACACAACAATATATTACAGAAATAATTTATTGTTTGTTTGGTCGCTAAGACCGCAGTTTCTAATGGTAATTTATGCATAGCTGTCTATTATTTTGATTTTGCGGGTGTGTCAAATTTTTACAAACAACCACCAGTTTTGTTGCTTGTTTGACTTTGAAAGCAGGTGCGGTGCATCTTTAATTTATTCTAATTTTTTTTTAAAATAATATCTGAATTACATAATTATTCGCGATCGTACATAAAATCTTGTATGTACCACAGGCGCAAATGGTGTTTGCGGCCCTTTGCGTGGTTAACGCCCTCGGGCCGCAAACACCTTAATTGCGCCCTTGGTTCATAAATAACTATTTCGTAACTCGCTTCCTTTTGCGGAACTCGCTTCGCTCGTTCCGCAGAAATCTGCTCGTTACGAAAAATAGTGCTTTTCCCAACTGGTTGCACAAATAACTATTTTCTGCGATTGACAAGAAATGTCAGCATTTTTGACCGGCTGACAGGTCGCAAAACTCAATATTCTGGTATTTCAATTATGTTTCAATAGTTGCTAAGGAATCAATGAATAACAATACTGGAAACACTTTTCCGGCCTAGGCCGAGAAAGTGATTCTCGTACTGCTGAATAATTGGATCAAAAAGACAAACATTTAACAGATATTTAACCGATCGCAGAAAAAATAGTATGTGTATTTCGGTAGAAAATCACATTCTCGGCCTACGGTGTTTGCCGGTCAACTTACACCGTCGGCCGAGAATATGTCACTTTTCCACCTAAATACACAATATACTATTGTTTTTGAGAGTGCAATAATTTACACAAGTATTTTTTTTTTTTTAATTTTTATGTTTTTTTGTTTGTTTATAACATTTTTCATAACATGTGCATTGTTCATGTATTTAACAAAAATCGTTTCATGCTGCGAACAACGCAGATAAAGAGTAAATTGAAACCTAAGAAATTATGTGCTGTCTTTTGTGCTGGGATTTTAATTTTTTGGTATTCAGAACGTGCATTAGGGCCTTGTTGAATCTACTAACACTTTTCTACCCTGACGAGCGAATATCCTAGCAAACAAATTGAAAAATCAATCTAGAGATATTGGCTCAAAATAACAACTATAGCTATAGCTATATTATCATTACATGTCTTAGGGGGCATCCGAAATGGTGACTTACGATATTTTTTAGTGGTCGAGAGATTTTTTATTTAGAAAAATAGCACCAATTTGGATAAAATCCAAAAATGTAAATTTTAAGTTCACACTCTAATATCTCTAAAACTAACAAAGCTAGGAAATCGACTTTTTTACCAAAATAAAGTCCATTTATTGGGCTTTCTAACAGACCTATACATTGCTGTGCCGAAATATGTTCTATATTTTTTAAATGACGTTTTAACTGTTACGTCACAAAATATTACTCTAAAATTTCACTAAGCAACAAACTTTTTTATTTTCAACTTTTTCCACATACATGCTGCGAAGTAAAGAAAGAAGAAACATTCAAAAAGTTTTTAAAGTAAAAATCTTTTATCTCCGATGTATAGTTTTTTTGCTATGAATTTTACAAAATCGCGCAATCTTGAAAATTCAGGCTTAAGGTACGGTTTGTTAGAATAGTCCGCGACGCACAACTGACAACGTAAACGTCGTCATTGGTTCAGGTATGACGTACACCCGTCTTCTGACGTGAGAAAACGGGTGTACGTCATACCTATGGTCATACCTGAACCAATGACGACGTTTACGTTATCAGTTGTGCGACGCGTACTCTCCTAACAAACCGTACCTTTAGCGTGCACGGGATCGGCGTCAGCGGCTTGTCGCTTTTACGTCATTTAGTAGGTACGATTTTGTAGCTGAAAATATTTTTTATAATATGCAGACGGGTCAGTTTTTTTTTTTTTAATTAGAAGAATAAAAATAAAACATAAAACCAATACTGTTTTTAATCCTTATAATAAAGTAGGTATCTTGTTTTTAGTATCTATTCAACCCCTTCTTCTTCATTTTCAGACACCTCCTTTTGTTCCATAATTTATTTTTGATTTTTGCACTAGTTACAGCTACACTCATCACAACATTTCAGCCCCTCCTCAATGTAGGTGCATTTTGAATTCATGCAGTTCTTACCTACAGAATATAAGCTTGAACCTTGTCTTATAAATTGGGGCACTGGTTGTTGGCTCGAAAAGACTGGATTCCAATTCTCATTTTCCAAGATCGAACCATTACATTGGGGATCATTAGACCCCATCTTTAGGCCCGACAAGAGAGAGGGGGGGGGGGGGGGGGAACGGGACAAATTCCCGGCGCCCGTAAGAACTGGGAGGCCCGGGTTCATGGGTTCACAGTGAAAAAACAAAACCAAATTCTTAGCTGATACATGCACCTAAAATTTTATGATAAAAATAAAATCAAACTTTGAATGATAAATGAAATTATTTACTCA